TATATACATACATATATAATGTAAAAATTTTTAAGTAAATTAAATATAATTTTTTATGATTCTTAACAATCTTATCATATAGATAAAAAGAATTAAAAGAGAGTCTCTGAGATTATAAATAAAGATTGAAAATTTCAATAAATTTAACATGTTTTGTGAAACCAACCTTGCACGCTGGCCACCGGAAAGACTGACACCCCTCTCCCCTACAATTGTCTTATCACCGTAAGGCAGCAGGCTGAAATCTCTCTTTAACTGACACACTTTAGTCACGCGATCATATCGAAGCTGATCCATCTTTCTTCCGAATAAAATATTTTGTCTCACCGATCCTGCGAAAAGCCACGGTTCTTGACTCGCATAAGCAATCTTTCCATTAACCTGTAAAAAAATATTTAAAAGAATAATTATATGTTTAAAATATTTATTAATTAAATATTTTGATTAATTAAAAATACATATGTATGAATGTTTTAATAAATTGATAAAATAATTTATTTTTATAGATAAAATTGTTTATTCCGTATTTATCTATTTAAATTTCTTAAAGAGGAATTGCCAACATACTTGAATGGAACCTTTTTGCAAACGCAGTTCTTTCAGGATGACGTTCAATAAACTGCTCTTGCCCGTGCCGACCTGGCCGACGACAGCAATCAGTTCGCCGGGACGCACCTTAATGTTGATACCTTGTAGGGTGTCTTCTCTGTCATAATCCAGCCACTTGGCAGTGCCGTTCTCAATGCAGATGCTGTGCTCGACGTAGTTCGGCTGGTGTACGATCGTGTCGTCGTCCTCCTTCTGCTCAATCAGATTTTCCTTCGTGTCGTTTTGATTATTCTCCATCGCAGTTTTGTTATTCTCTTTTACATCTTTTTCATTATTCTCCGTGTTGCTCTTCTTTGTTTCAATTTTAGAAGGTGTTAATTCGTCATACATTAAGAACTTTTGCAGACGTCTTATGGATACCATCGCTTCCGCTACTTGTGTTATCCCTGAGTGTTATACCGTAAAGACAAAATAGATAAATAAAAAGGAATAAAGACAGGATAAATCTCATAGTTAACGAATGTAATTATTAAATAGAATTCTAATTTATGGTATAAAGATGATAAAATACTTTAGTATAAAATCATTGTAATCAAGAAAATACGAAGAGAAGATTAAAAGGAAAAAAGAAAAAGAAATAAAGATAAAAAGAGGAAAAAATGGAAAGAAATAAAAAGAAAAAAAGATAAGAAATGTAAAGAGATAAAAACTAAAGGAAAAATAAAGAAATTAGCAAAGAACGCTGCAAGCATCACGCTGTCGATATTTATCATTCATATATACATATCAACTTAATATATACATATATATATCAACAACACAATTATATACCTTGCGGAAAGAAAACAGTCATGGTTGTACGTAAGCTATTGTAATAGGCGGTTATCACGAACACCTTTTCGGCCGTTACTTTGTAGCCGAACAACACGTAAGCCAGCACTGTGATGAACAGTGACATCCTCGTTGAAAAGATGATAAACGATAAAGTCACACCTCTGATATACGATGCCCATCGGATGACATTAACTTCCTTCCTATACACGAATTCCGTATTTGTTAATCTGTTTTTCTTTTTTTCCGAACTGTGTTCATATTTTCTGAATCGAAAACACAAATACACATAATTTATTGAATTCATAGTTTATTGAATTCGTAATTTAACATCGAGAATATATAAAAGAGAATCTTTCAAATTTTAAAAATAAATAATATACTTTACAAATAAATAATATATTGTTTTTTTAGATCATTCAAATTTAATTGAAATAGCTCAATAGAATACCTCAATGTAATACTTCATAGTCATAAAATATTTATTAACAACATAAATGTGATAACACACGAATCGATATTTGTGACGTTCTGAGTACATATATCATTAATTTTATTCTATTCCAGATTAATCATGATAAAAATATTAAAAATTATATATAAATTAAGCATATTCCCAAAAATAAATATATTGTTTAAAAAATAATACTGATTTTTTAAAACTTATGTTGGAAAAGTACTGGATACAAAAATAATTGATTATTTTTAAGCTTGATTTTGTCTCAAATACATTAAGATTTTGTATGTTTTTGTTTATTAGTTATGAAAGAATTAATTGCAAAACTAGTAACAATTTTATTTTAAAAGTTTATAATGAAAATGAAGAAAACTATTAAACAATACATTATCAAATTTTACGTTAAATCCAACGAAAATGTTGTACAAATATTTAATCTTGGAAATTAAACCTATCTCGTGTACAAATTTTCTGTTTATGGAATAAGTACAGAAGAATAAAAAACTTGTGCACGAAAGAAAAGACTTTAGAAGTTTCTTTTTTAATTTTCAAATATTTATATAGCAGTTTCATTAAATTTGACACAAAATTTGATGGCATAACATTGTTCAATATGTTTCTATCCCATTTTCGTAATGCAAAGCACACTGTTATTAATTTTGCAATTATTTCTTACACAACTAATAAACAAAAATACACATAATCTCACTGTTTAAAAGTACTTAAAATTAATTAGTTATTTAATTTTCGTACCCAGTTTTTTCAACATAAATTTTAAAAAATCAATCTCAAATTATTTTCAGAACAGACCATATACGTACATATTTGATATAATTCAAATTAATATATATTTAAAAATATAAGATATTTAAAAAAAGAAAATCTTTCACAGATATCTTGACCGTAAAATTTTCTATTAAAAAACTACGTCTCAACTTAAAAATAATACAGAGAAATACATATATACAAACGATAAAGTACGATAAAACCGCTGTCGACTATTATCATTTCATCTAATCGTTTCAACAGCGACTACAATTGAAATACAAACAAAGTAACGCTGATTTGCGTCTATACGTTGTCTACAATGATTCAACTCGATATCGAATGTGATAAATCGAAGGCGAAAGAATACATCCGCAGGATGTTCTAGAGAGTTTATACAGCTATAAAGTCATTCGTTTAAAAAAATATCGCATAATACCATTAATTGTCTTGTTACATGACTATTTACTTTTTAACATTGAAATTTTTATCATTCTTTCAGAAATTAAATAAGAGATATAATTTTGTCAACAATAAGCATAAAAAATATTTACTGTCTGTTTTCATTTATAAAAGCGCTGACAAATACGTTTCACAACTAATGTTTTTCTTTAACGGTCATGTTGCTCAACGTACAATTAACAACAAGTTGTTTGCGTAATCACTGTAAGTGACGGTACTTACTTCCTTGCTTTTTCTATGAGCGCGCTGAATGGTTTTTCCCAAGTGTACATCTTGATTGCTTGGATTCCGCTGATAATTTCATTTGTTAATCGCACTCTCTCGTCAGTCCTAATGGCGGTCCTTAATCTCAGTTCCGACGACTTCTTGCCCAGCCATGCTGAGGAATTTCGGGAACAAGACGTGAAACGCAGTTAGGAGAAAACATGGTTAATTTTCGATGATACGCTAACGAGATTTGTTAATTGAACAGAAAAAAGATTCAGGATAATTAGGAATTTAATAATAAATATAGAAATTTGGAAATGTAATAAAATTTAAAAAATTTGAAAATAGAATTTTTCTATTTGGATATTTATGGAAAAAAAATTTTTTAAATGACAATTCAGAAATAACAGAATTTCAAGATTTCAGATTAAAGTTTATTGAAACGAATTATTTGTTATATATTGTTCATTAAAATTATTAATTATCAGTCATTAAAAATTATTTACTAATTACTATTTAAAATGAATTATTGGTTGATTATTATTATTATTATTTATCAAAATTAATTTTTTAAAAATTCTAAAAGAAACAAAAGAAAATTAAGATTCCAAACGTTAGCAATTTAATTAAAGTAAAAAGACGCGCAATTTTCATTAGAAAAATTATTTCTAAATTAAACGTTCCTCAATACGGCATACATATACATATCAAGTTACTTTCAACTCGATCACTCAATTACTTCTATTATTAGAAATAATTAGAATAATTACTTTCTTACCTTGTAAAGGGATGAACATCAGCAGAGAAGCAACACCGATAATAGACGACACTCCTACATCGAGAACATGGTACATGACGTACGTGATGATGATAGTTTCCAAAGGCCCGAGCCATAGATAATGGAGAAATATAATACTGACGTCAAATCTATTGACGTCATTGGACAACAAATTTACTGCCTGGCCGATTGTCGTCTCACCCAGTGCGGTTCTAGTCATTTTTAATGTCTTACGGTAAATCAATGAGCAGCAGGCCACGCGGACCTTCATGCCCATATGTAAAATACCCATCATGTACGGATGTATGACAAACACATTGAGAGCGGAGCATAAAATGACACCGACGGCGCATCCATACGCATAGGACTTGTCGATGTCCATGGTGTTAAAGTAGAGCAGCATTTGGCCCACCAACAACGGTTGCATCACTCTGCATCGCAAAAGAAAATTCGTCAAATTAGATTCATGCAAGAGATTTGAATGAGATTGTCACTTATTTAGAAATTGATATTAATAAATTTATTATGAAATTGATTCATATTATGTTATAGATAATGTGAATTACTCAATATAATTAATTAGAGGAGACTTTATGAAAGGGATTGTATAGGAAACTAGATCAAATGATCAATTACTCGTATTTTTGAAATTAGATTAAGGACATATTAATGTCCTTAATTAGAGATAAACAAGAAAATAAAAATAAATTATTAAATCGGGAATTTAATAATAAATATTTATTATATATATATATTTATCTCTATCGATATTTTTCTCTTTTCTATGTTAAAGTTATCATAGATAAATAGCACCATTTTTACGCAATGATAAGGGGATTTTAGTGGACAACAGTTTCAAGGACAACAGTAGTAATGAATCAACGGATCGATAAACACAACATTACTCTACGTACATGTAGCATCTAAAAGAGAAATTTGTGTTCTGATAATTCCTAATAAATTCCAAGTTGATTTTTTATGAAATCAAGAATTTTAATTTATAAATGATACCATAAAAAAAAGTTTCTGTAGAAGGAAGAACTTGTTATAATTATAATTTCTGTTAAATATTTAATTTAATTTAATTTGAACATTCAAGCAAATAATGAAGTTAAATTAGATAATTTAAAAAATTCGTAAAATAGAATTTGTTTAATAATTTAGATGCTGAAATATAAATCTCAATGGAAATTAAAAATTTGTAAATTCTAATTCGCTTTTAAATGCATAATTGCATCCCTTCGTGAAATTCTGAACTTACAATTCTACAAACATTTTTAATCGATTAAATAATTATAATCCTTACTTGGTCAATTCAAAAAATATTATGGAAAAGACTCGTTGATAAAGACTGATCTGTGAAGGATTTAATTCCACAGGAATCTTCAAAGTGTTTCCAATGACTTGTGTATCGCTATCTATCGCTTTTTGTACTTGTCAAGACATCACCAATGTAGGGAATATAAAAAATTAGGATGAGCTTTTACAAGAAGATTTCTAGGTGAGAAGTGAGGGAGATTGTACCTGAGCAAGATCTCCATAACGGCCATAAAAAGGCCATACAGTAGAGTCGTCAAACCAAAACACCTGATGAGGACTCTCATCAAGCTGGGCTCCTTGACCTTCTTCTGTGACCCGCTCTTCGCGACCTGCTCCAGTCGACGCTGATAGGCCTCGCATTCTTCCTCCCAGGCCTTCGCTATTTTAACACCAAGAATACCACTTGTATGTTCTTTAAGCGGTGTGTACAAATCAGTTACTTCAAGATCTCGGCGATAACCCACCCAGAAAATGCGTAGAATCCAACTGCGAAGAAGAAAAGCAAAACACGTTTTACGCAAGAACTATGCGCAATTCATCTAGTTCTTGAAATTACGCTTCTTTCGTTGAGATACTATTCTCTTCTTTTATTTTTCAAGACATCGCTTTATGTATTATTTCGTAAAATTTATCTGCATCCCTCTTTCTAATTTCAAATAGATAAAAACTACGCGATGCCGACATTTAACGCAATCAAATAAAATCCAAGCTAACACTCGAAAATATTTTTCTTCTCGCAAAACTCGTCAAGATAAAAATTCGCTTACAAAATTTCAGATTATCGGACAACGTTTAAAATAAAAAAATGTTACGACATTAAATGTAACTAATTTAGACAGATAATGTTAGACAATTGTAATTAATGTCAAAATATCTCTTAATATGTATTGAATTTATATATAGTGACGTTGTGGCAATGTGGAGCAAATGTGGAGTTGTTAAATTTTGTAAAATAATCTTTTACAGTTTAGTTTGACCAAAAAAATGCAACTAGCGAAAATATTCAGATTTAAATCATGATTCATTCTTCCGAGAATAAAAATGCAAAAAATTTGCAAATCATTTCAATCGTGTGTGATTTCCGCCAGTTATATTAATGTCAGTTATATAAATAAAATATTAACATAATTCGTTATAACAACATGATTCAAAAAACAAAGAAAATAAATTTTAATTTTAATAATATCAATAAAATTTAATAATATTGATTTAAAATGTAATTTTGAAATAATAACTGATTATAGAGAGGAAATTATTTTCAAAGCATGTTTTCTTTTTTTTTAATTTATTAACAGATTCAACATATTAATATCTTTATAATATGATGCTTGGTGATAGCAAATCAAATTATTAAAATTGTTTGTCAATTTATTTCGCGATTATTAGAATAGTTTTAATTGCGTTTATAAGTCCAGAAAAACAATTCGGCGTGCAATTTGAAAAGACTACAATATACAAATACATATATTAGTAATTCAAGATTGAATTATTTAAAGCAATGAAGATCCAGCTTTGATTAGTATTTTAAATTTCTAGTATTGATTGTGTTTCTTTTTTTATATTTTATTTTTTACAAATGTTGTAGAAAACAAGCGATATGCAAATCGGGCAATAAAGGTCAAGTGTTCGAAGATAAAATTGAGAAATTATTTATCTACAAAATAATTACTAAGGAATTATTTATTTATCTATAAAGCGATCCGAGCTTTAGATCCTGACATTATTTATAGACTCATAACTGCGACTTTCGATAAATCACATCCACAAAATCCATTTATCATCCAAGAATAATCTGATCTAATATCTGACACAACTGAATATGCATTTATTCCATATCTGTCTATCTATTGTAATTTTTCCAGAAGATAACTACTCTAGAAAAGTGCATTGTAATCGAAGTGCAAAATAACATTAATTGATCCTTCACACTTTAACCGATCATTTTGTACACTTACAGAGTAAAAAATTTGATGGTTAATGAATCAAAAAATACGAAAGCTTATCGAAGTATAAAATCAAATAGAACGACAAAAATGTGATCAGATTAATTCAAATTGAATTCATCGGAATTTGATTCTAGATTCCACTTCTCTAAAGATTAATTAATTTTAATTAATTAATTTTTAGTTAATTAAGTTTTAATTAATTTTCAAATATCCATTTACTAGACTACGTTCTATCTTTAAAAAAGATTACATTCTTGTCTAATCGAGATTTGTTAATTTGATTTGATATGTTGATAACATATAGTAAGGCCTTCTTTCAGTTCAAATGTAAAAAAAAATGATATAAAACAAATATTTTTATATTTTAATATAATCTGGACTTTTAATTAATTCATTATTCTAAAAAAATATAATATATTGAAAAATAAAACGATAATTGTATTATAACAAATAAAAGTATTGTTTTGTTTTATCATCCTTTTTGAATTGGAAATTTACGCAGTTTCATAAAGCATAATTAACATACCACAAATTAAATTAACAAATTTAAGTATAAGCATCACAAACAAATGAATACCAGTAAAATAATTAAGATGTTCGAGAAAAAAGAAGTAAAATTTTAAATTAAATTCCAATGATTTCAATCAGAAACGTTTTAATTTTACTATACGTATTAAGTCATTGCATTCTGTGGATTCCTTTCTGGATCGTACTCCTTCTTTTATCCTCCTCAATTTTATCCTTTCTTAACTGAATCTACTTATATCGTAAATAACTGTTGCTTTTCATACTCACGAGAACGTCAAGATGCTGAAGATGTTGGCGCCCGCTCTGGGATTCTTTACTTTCTCGTTGTACGCTTTTCCATCCATGACGGAGTCGTCTCACAGAAGTCTCTTCTGTAAAGGTACAATGAACCTTCAATAGATACGTAACACATAAATCTCACATATATGCCGCAATTACATTCCAGCGTTATTTGCAGCGAAAGAGAAAAAGAATACGAAGAGACCTCGGCAGTAATTACACTGTGTACCAATTGTGAAGCAACTGCCACACGATCCTAACACGTTGTCTTTCCTTCCTTTACTGAGAGGAATTACGATTTAATCAAATCTAAAATCTTATCTATATATTATGCATGACGAATCGAATAACGTTGATTGATCTTTAACATCACCTTATCAGCACATGCTTATGTTTACGGATTATGAGCTTCCAAGATCCAAATTGATCCTGAAAAAGCTTTTTTGCTACTCGATACTCGAGTATTACATTATTGCGCGTTGTTACACGATTTGTTAATAGAACTCGAAAAGTAAAAACAACTGTTAAATTCATATAATAATATGAAATTATACCCCCAATTTGGGTTATTTTTAATCATTTCTATAGATCGCCACTGCTCCTACATATCGGTGACTTAATTAAAACAATAGTTAAACAATTTAATCCAAGAAAACGTACTAAATGTCGAAAATAACTCAAATTTCATTTATTATCTAATAAGTACATTTTAAAACTAATTGAAACTAATATAGAATAATAGAAATTGATTTGTTTACATTTTGACACACATAAAAGTTAAAGTTGACAGAATGTTATTTTTACTTAAGGAAATAAGATATACCATTGCTTCTTTAATATTTAATATGAATATTCTGCCTGGTTTTTGAGAAAAGAAAAAAAAAAGAGAAGATATTGGATACATTCCTACACCTTTCATAATGTGAATCATATGGCCAAAGAACTCATAAAGCAGTATATGGCACCAACAAATCATGTGACTCTGAGCAACAATTACTTCAGCCAATTATAGAGAGAATTATAAATACATGACTTTATTGGCGCATCTGTTTAAATTCTAACTACTTCCTTATATCTTGCTATCGATGCAATATTAATCACATGAGACATGTTTATATTACAATAAATATCGTAAGAAAAATGTAGTCGGGCTAGTGCGGGTATTTAAAATAAACAATGTATCTCATACCGCTCCAAGCAATACATATCTTATAAGATATTTGTCGCATGTATCGTTCTGGTATGCGGCCATAAAGCATTGAAATTCTAGTTTAACCTACGGCGATTCAATTATAAATTTCAACTTTCTCCAAGGCAATTATAACTCAAATTTAAAATCTAATTTAATCGCAACTTTCAGTTCTTTAATTTATTAGCTATAAAGTTTATGTACAATAATAACAAAGTGATCATGCTTTACAGCTATATGAATCTGCGGTTATTTACTTAGTATGTATCTGTCAGTAGATAAGATACTAGTCTTTATAATTTGTACTCGGTTTTGTAATTGAAGTGATTTATCTATTTACAAGCAATTAATGCACTAAAGATTTTTTCTCTTTTATTTTCTCTTTTTCATATGAAATTATCATTTAAAGAAATTACAAAGAAACAAGGTCTCCTAAATTATTCAATGATACATGATAAAAATATACCAAACACTGAAAAAATATTCAAAAGCGAGCATAAAATAATTTTCAAAAAATTCTGGCTCTATAGTAATTTTTATATTATTTGACATCTCACATCTTATCTTTCTATTAATTACTTAATCCATAGTAATCATTAAGATTGCTATAACAATCATAATTCAATAATCACGATTTCGGCTTGCTAACAAAAAAAATATAAATTTTCTAAAAAATCTAATTAAAAGTTTCTCGTTAAATGAGAATTTTCATAATAAATTAAATGGCTTCATTATAATGATCATAAATTTGCAAGCCAAGATAAAAAAAATTTCTTCAAAGAAATTTATTTGTACACGTCTCTTTCCCAACATTTACAAATTTTATATGCATTTTGTCAACACAGATACATACAAAATTTTTTTTTATTTACATATATCCTAATCTGAATATGTACATATATTTATAGAGATAAGAAATCAAAGCATATCCATGAAAAATTTAATCTACACAAGATAGAAATTTTTGACGGGGAATCATCAACAGTGTTTTGATCTGCTCTTGAGCGATAATGAATCAATTGCGCTTTCGTAATCAAGTATTAAGTAATCGATTAAAAAGATATTATCTGATCTTTAACCAATTACAAATAATACGAACATATTCCACGAATAATAGAAATAATATACGTTTATCATAAATAAGATTAGAGTGATATATATTTTCATTCAGATACCGAAGCGTGAAAAAAATTTCAAGATTTATAATGTCTAATTCTCAATCTTTATCGCAAGGTTTGAGCACCTCGGGATGTATTATGAAAATTATATATATAATTAATGCGAGAAATATAACTGAATGTAGTATACATAAGACATGATTACTTATGCAATCGATTATACTATATTACAATAAAAAATTTTACCTTAAACCACAAATTAAGCCTTTTATAGGTTTTTGAATACTGAAAATGATGCCGCAAGCTAAACAATTTCCGCAAAATTTCAGGTTTCCAAGACAAATGAGGTTTAAAAAAATAAGCTTTTTGTCTGTCTGAAAGAGGTCGGCAGTTTTACATCAGAAAGAAATCATTGTTACGTGCCGCGACACATTTGCCATAACATGTTTCTAACATAAAAGTTTTCTATTGTTCATTTATTTTCGATTACATTTTGTTTAGACAGTCTTATATAAAACTTAATCCTGTCATTTATTTTATCCAATTTCACTACTCGTTTATGATCTCTTTTTTATTTAAGATTGTAGGACTAAAACTTGCGAGTCCTACAAACATTTTAAGGATCATACCCTTCTTCTTCTTCTTTTTCTTCTCTCCAAGGCTATAGATTTACATGGGCAAGTCATAGGATCTTGAATTTATAGAGATCCAAAGATCCTATGAGTATCACTTGCAGGGAGAACACAAGTCTCACTTCTTTTTCACGATGTGGATCATATTTCTCGATCATACTCAACAGATGAGACTCCTTAAGTCATATGTACATATAGCCAGAGTTGAGCTATTTACATTTCAAATATACATATAAAGGTACATGTCCGATCACTAGGATCGGTTTAATGTCCTTAATGGACATTAGTAAATATTTTTTACGAGCGATGGTAATTTGCTAATTGCAATACGTCATTCCAAAATAATATCAATGAGCAATTTCGCAAAATTATCGCATTCATTATTTATCAAGCGTATCGTTTGTCCAATAAATCGATATTTACAAGAAATCAAAAGGCAGCAGATTCGTGTTGATTTATAAGTATAACACGCGTTAAAGACTCGCAATCCTCATATACATGAAAGCTTATAGTAATTCAATTGGAAAATTAATTAGATTAATTACTCGACACTTTACTTCTAATTGATCTTTATAATTTTTAATTTATCATTTATCATTTTAACTTTACAATTTTTCAAAATGGAATCTAAATAAATTGATAATCATAAAATCATAAGAAACAAAGATTACAAAGAATCTCCAACAAATAGAAATAAACTAAAAATAAATAAACTAAAAGTAGTTAAGAAATAAATTATCTTCGAATTACCACGATAAATTATTAACAAATCATAATTTGCGAATAACGAATTACGAACTGTGAATAGTTTAATATTGGATTTGCATCAAGAAATACGCAATAGATTTCGTAGATAATTATTCAAGTGACAAATTCTGTGATAAGAGATCGCACACATCGCCGATTGAGTGCTTCAAACAAATTTAACGATCAAATAAAAGATTTCACGTGTGTACAAAAATTTGAATGCATGTATATAAACATGTGATATGACAAAAGATTTCATTCTAAGTGTACAAAATGCAAAACGATATAATACCATGAAATAATCATTTATAATACCATTTATGATGCGAGGACAGACTTAACTTAACCAACAAAATATAAAACATCTTTATCCATTTTCTAAATAAATGATAAACAACTTACTATAATAATATTATATATTACATAGTAAAATATAATAGAAAATATAAATAGAAATGGAAGTAAAATGTTTTGATAACTTCGTAAATAATATTAAAAAATATAAGCTAAAACTATATCTATCATAGCTTCAATAATTCGTTACGAAAGAAAAATTCGATTCTATTAATCGTCGTACACAGCTGTGTAAATATGTAACTAAATATGCTGACGTGAGAACTCTATGGGAGCAAAGTCATGTACTGTTCAACAATATTTCAAAATACGTATTAGGTGTTGGAATTAATTCGTAGCGTTTTTTTAATGAAAGAATGTTATTTATTTCACATGAGCATTAAAAAATACATTAATGAAAGTACTTCCCATCACTTTCTACTACTTTTGACCATCTTTCGGGCAGTGAATGAATACCGCGTCGGAAGAACTGTTCATCTTTAGATGAAATCCAGGAATCGAACCATTTTGTCCAATCTTCGTAAGATGTGAACTTCTGCTCGCACAAGCTATGAGCTAATGATCGAAACAAGTGGTAGTCGCTAGGTGCAATATCAGGAGAATACAGCGGGTGCGGTAGCACTTCCCATTTAAGTGTTTCCAGGGATGTTTTTACCGGTTTTGCACCGTGTGGGCGAGCATTGTCGTGCAGCAAGATGACTTTATCGTGTCTTTCGAAGTATTCCGACCGTTTTTGCTTCAATGCACGGCTCAAGCGCATCAGTTGCCGTCGGTAGAGATCTCCAGTAACGGTTTCATGCGGTTTTAGCAGTTCGTAGTATATGACACCCTTCTGATCCCACCAAATACAGAGCAGGAGCTTTGAGCCATGGATATTGGGCTTTGCCACTGATGTTGATGCCACTGATGTCGCCGGGCTTAACCCATGACTTTCTGCGCTTTGGATTGTCATAATGGATCCACTTTTCGTCACCGGTAACAATCCGATGCAAAAAACCTTTTCTTTTCTGCCGTTGAAGCAGCAGTTCGCACGTGAGAAAACGTCTCTCAATATCCCTTGGTTTCAATTCATATGGGACCCAATGTCCTTCCTTCTGGATCATGCCCAAACTTTTAAGACGTTTTCCTATTGTTGAGAAGTCAACTTCCAATGACGTAGATAATTCTTTAAGTGTTTGACATGAGTTTTCATTGAGCAGTGCCTGCAAATCGTTATCTTCAAATTTTTTCGGCTGACCAGGTCGCTCCTTGTCATCCAAGTCGAAATCACCAGCTTTAAAACGTGCAAACCACTTCCTACACGTTTGCTCAGCCAGAGCATGTTCATTATACACATCCACTAAAATACGATGAGCTTCAGCTGCACTTTTGTTCATATTAAAGTAATGAAGCAAAACTCCCCGCAAAAACACTTTATCTGGCACAAATTTTGACATATTCAATGAATTATACAGTATTGTTATTTATGATTTCAAGAAAGGTTATGTACGGCAAATGACGTCCTATGATAGATGTTTACAATGTATACAGAACTATAGGTAACAACGAAATAGTGTACTGCTTGTGCCATCTCTTGTAAAACGCTACGAATTAATTCCAACACCTAATATTTAAAAATGTAATAAGGGAAAAGAAATGGAAAAAGTTATACAAAATTGAACTTCTCATTGATGTAAGTAATAATCAAGACATGTGCTTCTCCTGCATTCTCACGTCCAACACACTCAACATAACAATAAATCAATTTTCGCAGATTCCAATCAGCAAATTGAAATACCAAAATTAAATATTAAACTATTAAAATCTATTAACCTTTCTCCTTAAAAGTCAATACAATAATAAAAATCAAAACAAGTATTGATTACATACCAAGTATAAACGCAGTATACTGAAAGAAAAGTTTGACTATTGCAGCAAATTAGATGGTAAAATATGGCATAGCATTTTTAATCAACTGCAGCAGCAATTTTTGATTGTACCAGCCAATTTTTATACATCCCTAATATCAGTATAGGATTTCAATAGGCTATAAACGTAACCAAAAATTTGCTGCGACCAATTAAAAATATCATGCTATATTCAGCCAATCTTCTCTTTCAGTAGGAAAAATATTAATAAAAAATGTGGCTCTCCTTCATATCAAAACACAATGATCTCCTTCCCAGGAAAGCGATGTTTGAGATGATATATATTAAAAAACAGAACATTGGTCTCAATAAGCAAGGCATTATAGAATATCTATCTAATACATATCTCCCAGTCCCGGATTTCTTTCTCCCCCTGATTATTATTATTCTCCTACTGCGTTTATACTTGCATATAATATTCAGCGTTCTGGCTCAAATAAGTCTTCTCATTTTTAAGATTTCAATGAAAGATTTTTTATTTAATTTTTGTAAATTACAAATATTTATAAATGTAATATGAAATGTGATATAAAATGTAATATACTGTTAATTATTATTCACCTTTTTGTGCATAAGCTACCAAAAATTTGTGTGTGTCTAATATTGATGCTTTCTTATCATCATGTTTATTATTGCCGTACAATTTGCAATTCTTGTATTCATGTCGAAATTCAACTATGAATTCTTCTTTTTCTTTAGGAGACATCATGTCCAAAAAGTTAGAAATGGACATAATCGAAGCTATCGGAAAATTAACATAAATGTGTATTAATACATTATTGTAAATAATAGACTGTAATAAATATTATTATAAAATATTATAAAGTAATAAATTAAAATAAATAAAATGTGTAAATAACAAAATTTACAAAAAATTGTAATATGATCTTACAAATAAAAAATAAAAATAAAATTTTTACACATTACTTAAGTAAACTAACATAGAAAACTATCCTCATTTATCTCGGAACAATCTGTCTCCTGAATACTGCAATGTTGAATGTTAAAGCCGACACTTTCAAGTAAATCTTTTAGCTCTTCATCAGATGCGACTGAATTATAAAACGGTAATTTATTTGGATTCTGTGAAAAAATAATAAATAATATTTTAATTAAAAAATTATAAACAAATACAAATAAATATGACCAGTAAATATTGACCTGTAAATAAGACGCAAAACGAGAATCTTGCGCAATATTCTTAAACACTTCAAATATCGTATTATGAGATGCTGGAAAAAATATGAAGATAGTTCCACCAGATTGAAGCATGCGGTAAATATTCTCAAATGCTTTTCTGTTATGTAACGAAGAGAAATATTATTAATTTATGAAATGTTTATTATAATATTTTCGTGAAATTAATAAGTTTGATATTTTATTAACACATTACAATCGTAGTTGTGCCATTTTTTACTCATCTGACAGTTCTTCTTTTCCAATTAATTTGGACTTTTATTTATATTATATATAAATGTGTGTATATATAATATAAATTATGTTTTAATTCTTTTTTTATAAAATTATAATTTTAAAAGAGATAAATTTACACCCATTTAAAAATTTGTTTACCTGATATCATTGCACCAGTGCAAAGTATGAAATGAAAATATATGATTAAACTTAAAAATAAATTTTTCTGGCAAGTTTTTAGTTTGAATATCCAATACTTCGAATTTGAGACGTGTATTGTAATACGTTTCCGTCGCATATTTAATCATGTTCACGTTAATATCCGTACCTACAAGATCATTGAATTAAAGAATAATTTTTACACCGCATTACATTGTTATATTTATATAATTTGCGTCTTACCAATTATTACAGCATTTGAATCCAGAGATGGTAAAAGCAAATTATTTGTTATGTCTCCGGGACCACAACCGATATCCATACATATTCCAGACATATTTTTTAAGTATTTGGTAAACTCTTTTATTGCTATTGATACGCTGCGTTTTTGTACTTCATTAAAATAAGTATACTCTGCTGGATTCACCATGTTTACTGTCTACTAACTGTCTGTACTATACTACTATTACACTGCGCCTTTATTAATATGAATAATAATGTATTATATAAATAGTTACTACACTCTGATTAAAGTAAGGATTTAATATGTTTATCATTTTTATTATATAAATAACATTGGAAGAAAATTTGATCTATTTTTGGCTACACGAGTGTTGAACACGAATCCGTTGGCAAAAGTTAGCTATAAGGTAAGGTATAAAATTTTGTAAAAAAATGGCGCAAAAAAGGAATCACATTTTATGACATTATTTTTCTCAAAATTATGACGTAGAAGTCAACTTTTGTCAATGAATTCATATTCAATACATAAAAATATGTCGGAAATGAATATTCACACTCATGTGTTGCAAAATAACGTTTCTCAGTTTAATTATATCTGATGAATTTCTAAATTGTATGTCTAATAGAAATAAAGACTAATAATTATTTTCATTAATATTATATTTTTATAGTATCACAAAGTTCGTTTTAAATACCTGTCAATCAACTCTGCAATTATCTTCTATTAATTAAATTTGCACGGAACAAACCAAAAGATTTTTCTGTAAAAATACATGCGTAATGGACCAATAGCCTATCACTCAGTATTATATATTCATGAAGAATCAGGAGATATTCCCTCTCTCTGACAGATTTTTTTATTATTGCATCGCACATTATCTAATCACTTACAGGAACTTCAATGATTAGATAATGTGCGATGCAATAATAAAAAAATCTGTTTGTAATAAATTCTATGTATATTTATGTTTTCTTTTTTTTCGACATAAAAAGGAAAAGTACAAAGGGGAAAGAGGAATCGCGCAAGAAGTTCTGCTGCAAAAATAAATTGTGCTACTTTATGCAATCTGCGGCAGTGTTTCTTAAGTGCATAAGTAAGTGCAGTAATCATGTCTATTTCCTGTTTTTTGGTTCCTAAACTAGTTCAGTTCCACACACAAATAGTAAATAGTAAATAAGATAAGATAAGTTTCAATCTCGATTGAATTTACTCTTTATTATTTTTTTGAATTCCTTAAATGAATTTAACTCGCGATAATATAAAGTTGTCTTAGAAGAGGAAGAAAGAGGAAAAGATGTAAACTGATTGATACTGCTGCGAGTTAATCGCCGAAAATATTGGTGAAACAAACCTTAATGCTTGTTTTTACCAATATAGATTAATTTTAATCTTATTTACTTTTTATTTTTTTTTGAATTCTAAAAAAAGAGTAAAGAGTTGCGTCACATGATATTTTTCCTCTTGCTAGCTGGATTAGCATCTTGCCGCTGCATGCAGCTCTATAAAGTTGGCAGGACCAAATAAGCAGAATCAAATCGGACCTACCGGAATTTTTAGTATCCATTTTGTACTAAATTGTAAATAAATAAATAAAAATAATATCAGAAATCAATAAGATGAATTTGTACTATTTTGTATCGCCAAAAAAAAAATTGTATATCATGTGTCATTTCCAAGAAAACAGCGCTTTTCAATTTTTGCGCAATCCCCATGTAATTAATTTAGTCAATTTAAAAGATATCGAAATGAGACCAACGATATTTAAAAGAAAATAATCTGTACCTATTTGTATCACTTTTATTTTCGTTTGTACCTCGAAGGGTTCGGAGTGCTTTTCACGATTTTGACGATTCAGACGCGAGATTTTCTAACAATTTAAATATACTTTATATATATATATATACATATATATTGATATATATAATATAT